ATTGTTGTTGGGGGCAACATGCTGACTCTGTAAACCGCTTAGAGAGGGCTGAAAGCCCTATGAAGCGGTATATAAGTCTAACTGCTATTGCTATTTATAATCATAGTTCCGTTGTCTTCCAATAGGTGTCTTTTCTTTTTCTGGTTTCCTTTTTTTAAAAAATTTTAAAGTGTTTGTGTGCTTGGTTTTCCCCTGCAGTCTGTTGCCAGCAGTTGTTGTTTCGTTTATACCAAGTGGAAATATTAGACGAGAGTGAACTCAAAGACCAGCTCATTGGGAGCATGAAAGACAAAAACCTGGTAAGCTCTTAAGCATCGTCAGAATTCATTAATCTGCTTTTCCAGGAAGTGGCTTTCATTCGGTGCTCTCATTCACCAAAAATGCCCAGCAAAATAGGAATATATTAAAAATTTAGGAAGTCTTCCCCTCCTGGTGATTTACAGCCACATGAAAAAGTGATTTGCCTCAATCTGTTTTTAGATTTTTTTAAAAATCAGTCCAGACTTTTCAACCTTGTACAAATAGACGTGGTATTCAGTTGGTTCAAACCGGTAGTGGAAATCCTGAGTTGGCCTGACCCCCTGCCTCGTTCTATGCCGTCCTATTTAGGTTGCTAAAGGTGGAGAAAATGGCGTAGCATGTCGTTATATACAATTACAGCTTAGCATACTGTCACACTCAATATATTTTAATGAGACAAACCACAGCTCGGTGCCTGTGAAAAAACAGCTATTCTAAATCTGCAGGTGGGCAGCATTCACACACGATGCTAGGCCGTTATTTTAATCAGTTTCTTAAAGAAAGCCAGGACGGTCTCTTTTTTCGCATTGTACAAAACCAACCACGGGTTTGGAACGGAGCCCCAAACCACATCATAGCTCAATATTCCACATAAAGAAGAAACTCTGAAGTGGAATTCCTAGATTGACGGCTGAACGAAGCCAAACTGAATTAAAGCTGAATTAAGCTAAAGGGCTATTTTTTTAAACCCCGCCCCCCTAGGTGTGAATTGTACAAAGGGGGTTTGAGATTTGGGGATCAAGCAGGGCCAGTTGCCTTCCTAAAGCCACCTGCTTATTCTCCTGGTGGGAAAGCGGCTGGGGCTGTGTGCCAAAACTGCAAACGGTGCAATGCTCATCTGCACATGCACACGTGACTCCTCCGCGCATGAGTGCGAACCCCCAACGGCAGGGAGGTGGCATTTTGGCCCTGCCCAGGCTCGGGGTGGTGGTGGTTGAAAACGGCCTCTCCGGGGCCCGGAGATCTACCCTGAAGCCTCCTGGCACCAAAACCGGAACAGGTGTGTGTCTCTCCCGCATGTGTGGCACAACCGAAAATCCGCTGGCCGCTGGGAGGCGTGCGCGCGCATGCGGAGCGGAGCTGGGAGACACCGTGCGTGTTTGCTGAGAGGGTTCCGTGTGAAATTCACACGCCCTCTGTCTCTGTTACAGGCACTTGTCAAATACCTAAATGACCGCGGAATCCTCCTCTTCCTCACCTCGTCTGCCTTGGCAAAAGAGAAAGGTAAGAAGGGAAACGGAGGTGAGTCTTTAACACACACCGCCCCCCCTGGAAGATTCAGGTCCAAAAAGGGGAAACACGGCGCCCTGATTTCTCTCTTTTTTTTCCCCCAGACGCCGAAGCGAACGATTTGGGCTCTCTTCAAGCCTTGTTTCTGTTTCCATCCCCAGGGCCCAGGCATTTAACAGGTGAAATTTTATCTTTACAAATGCTGGGGAATCACTACACACACACACACACTACACTACACACACACACACACAAACACACAGACACGTCATTTTTGTCCTGCATTCCCCCTCCCCCCTTATGTTTACTTATTTATTTATCTCTTGGAATTGAATTCCACTTTTATTATTTTTATAAAGAAGTCAAAGGTGATGAACATACCTAATAATTTTTTTTGGGGTGGGGGTGGGTTTCTGTTTTCTCCGACAACTACAAAAACAACAATCCTGTGAGGTGGGTTGGATTGAGAGAGAGAGAGAGTGATTGGTCCAAAGTCACCCAGTCAGCTTTCATGACCAAAGTGGAACTAGAACTCGCCGTCTCCTGGTGATTGGCCCAAAGTCATCCAGCCGGCTTTCATGCCTAAGGCAGGACTACAACTCACAGTTGCCTGGTGATTGGCCCAAAGTCACCCAGCCAGCTTTCATGCCTAAGGCAGGACTACAACTCACCATCTCCTAGTGATTGGTCCAAAGTTCCCCAGCTGGCTTTTATTGCTAAGGTGAAATAGAATTCACTATCACCTGGTGATTGGCCCAAAGTCCCCCAGCTGGCTTTCGTTGCTAAGGTGAAACTAGAATTCACTATCACCTGGTGATTGGTCCAAAGTCCCCCAGCTGGCTTTCATTGCTAAGATGAAACTAGAATTCACTATCACCTGGTGCTTGGCCCAAAGTCCCCCAGCTGGCTTTCATTGCTAAGGTGAAACTAGAATTCACTATCACCTGGTGATTGGCTCAAAGTCCCCCAGCTGGCTTTCATGCCTGAAGCAAGACTAGGACTCACTTTCTCCTGGTGATTGGCCCAAAGTGACCATGCCTGAAGTAGTACTAGAACTCAACCTCTCCTGGTAGTTGGTCTAGTCACTTAATGGGCCACCTATTTCCCTTACAAAGCAACTCATGGTTGATTAAACAGTGAGAGCTTATTTTTTTTGTTTTTGCCCATGATTGAAATCAGTTGCAAACGGCTTTTCTTTTTTCTTGTTTTCATTAGCCACAGATTGGAAGGGCGAAGAGGGGAAAAGCGAGTCCCCTCAGGAGCTCCCCCTGATCCTTCCCCTCCTTCGCCGGGCATTGGCAGGAGCCGCCAATAATCCGAATCCCAAACAATCCCCTTCTAGCGCTTTGGTCAAACTGCACATACAGGAATTTGCAGATCTCGATCCGTGCTCGGCGCTGAACTGCGATAACACAGCCGGCCCACCTTTGACTTGCAAACTTTCATCCGAGACCCCTAAGGGGGCCCCCGTAGACGATACGTGCTCCCCGTCCTCGTTTTCCAACTTGGCGTTTTATCTATCGGACCCCGGGAGTTACACACTGGAGATGGCCTGTTTGAAGGGCCGCTCTCAGTTGTCCGACGGTTGCGCCGGTTTGTCCGGACCGGACAAAGCTGCTGGAACGGGCAAGGGTCCCTTCGAGGGACACGGGCCGAGACGAGACGCCGCGTCGAAAAGCAGCCCGTCCGGAGAGCGATCGTTGCAGTGGACGAAAAGGAAATCCAGCCGTATCCTCGGGGCCAGTTCGAAGAAGAAATGGTCGCCTCTGAAGATGTACTGCATCTTGGAGAGCAGCAAGAAGAAGACGAAGGAGAAAAGGAAGAAAAAGAAGAAGAAGAAGAAAAAACTGCCCAAGGAAGTGATGGTGCTGAACATCCCCTTGGTTAAAGACCCCGGATCCCCAGCAGATCCTAAGCGGCCGACCCTCAAATTAAAAAATATTCTGAATCCGCTGAGAAGGAAGAGAGGTGAGTGTCGCTTCAAATAAGTCTCCAGGTGATCCTCGCGGTTTAATTTTTTTTATCACAGGGAAGTCATAATTACGGTTGATTATCATCGTCATCCTTTTACTACCCCGTAATCCCTCGGGGGCTGGTTGTGAAGTTGGGGCAACTGAATGCAGCTAGCAGAGTGTTTTAACGGCCGGAACTAATTTCGTTGTATTTAAGCACAAGGAAAATAAAGATTATACTTATACTTATGCCCTTCCTGTCACCAATGTGGAGTTTTGTTAGGCAGATACATTCTCATTGTGTGCAGAAAGAGAAATATCTGCCTCTACCCAGGATCGAACTGATGGTGAGGCGAGAGGCCATTGCGCCACTCCGTAATTTCAGCTGATTTGGAAGCTATTATTTTACAGGGTAATCCTCGATTTACAACCAGTCACTTACTGACCAAAATTACAACGGCACTAAAAAAAAAAAGTGGCCCTTAAAGCTGCAGCGTTCCCCGTGGTCACGTGATCAAAATTCAGATGCTTGGCCACTGGCATGTACTTATGACGGTTGCGGTGTCTCGGGGTCACTTTTGCGACCTTCAGACAAGCAAAGTCCATGGGGCAGCTGGATTCACTTAAGAACCGTGCAGCTGACATCATCGCAGAGGTTCGCTTCACAACTGTGGCAAGAAAGGTCGTAAAAATGGGGGGGGGGGAACTCACTTCATTGTCTTGCTTAGTCATGGGAATTTCGGCCTCAGTTGTGGTCATAAGGTAAGGACTACCTGTGTTCATCTATAATCTGCTTTTATAATTCTTCACAAGGATGGATTGATTTAATATTCTTCCTGTGGCCTGTCGGCCGCGAACCCTTCCAGCAACCGAATCAGAGGAGGAGGGAGCTCCGAGGGGGAAGAGGGAAGGGAGCTGAGAGAGAGAGAGAGACAGACAGACAGACGTCCATCAGTCCTCAGATGGAGTCAACAGCCCCCAGGTCTGGAGGTGGCTGATGAGGAAGAGGGGGAACAGTTGGGTCTAGTGCCTGATACGTAGAGGTGTAGAAGGCGGAGAGGAGACCAGTGGAAATCTATGGGCCGGTCCTCGGGACGGAAGAGCCACCGCTGCTGGAGAAAGCCCCACCCGAGCTCTTGGGATCAAAGGCAGGGGGCGGTGATGAATAGATGGGGCAGACAACTATTCCTCTCCCTGCCGGAGGGACTTGGCGAGAGAGGAACTTTTTGCCGGCGCTCCTAATAAAGGAATCATTGATTTAAACACAGTGGGTTTCTCGTGTTTGGGGAGCTGGGCCAGAACAATTCTGTTTAAATCAGGAGAGCTAATCCTTTTCCCATCCCCTCCATAACTTTTATGGAAGCAGCCCCTCCCCATTTCAGCCCCATGCCCCCCATCGGCTGTATATTTTGGGGTCAAATTGAGGCAGATACCCAAATACGGCGCGGTAGACTCGGCAAGAGCCTGGAGTCATATAGTACCATCAGCCGGGGTGGTTCTCGGGTTAACCTTCCTGTGGTTTAGAGTGTTGTGGGGCATCCGACCAGGGTGCCAATGGAAATCCACGAGGCGGTTTAGCACAATAACCGCGTGAATAGTGGTGTCAACTCAGGCAGAGGCTTTAAGTTTGTTTGTGGGTTGTGGTTCTTTGTCTTATCGAATGCAAAAGAAAAAAAAAGATGCAGTTCTGAAGAAATAAAAAAAAACCTGCAGAAGTAGAGTTAAGTGGAATATACATTCTCTCTCTCTCTCCCTCTCTCCCTCTCTCCCTCTCTCCCTCTCTCCCTCCCTCCCTC